TTGGGACGTGCTACGTACCTTGTTGTGCGGCCTTGCCTCGCGATCGTAGATGCTGGTTTGAAGAATGTTTCGTTGATGCTTGAGGTTCCAGCTGTAACTTACTTCTGTGCCGTAGTAGTTTTGCTGGGTGTAGACACTTCGGCTTGTAATTTCATGATTCGGCGTTTTCTTCTATTATACTACCGATGGCGATGTCGGCGTATACAGTGGAATCTGTGTTGCTCTCGGCATGGGTAGTAGCGAGAAATTTCGCTTGATGTTGTTTAGCCGGGGCCAGTTCCTCTCAGGCTCACGCACAATTTTGACTGATATTTTACGATATGTCATGCAAATTTCGCGAGTTGGATGTTTGTATTTGTAATTGTAAGATGTCTTAACGATCCTAGTGCGGGAAACGGATTGTTTCAACGATGGTAGCTTTCGCAGGCCGACTGGTTTGCAAGTTCATGTGTGTAGCCAAAAAGCTTTGGTACAGGTGTGCCACCTCGTTGTTTGATCGTTGGTAAATGCTACAGGGGCTCGTGAGGTGATTGTTGTGCATGGCTTGTGGCAAGTGGGGACGACGTCACTGGTTTGTCACACCTGACACAAATGCCAAACTTTGTAGTTACGTGCAGTGGCCTTGAGGGTGTGTCGGGCCGTTTTCTTATTCGACGCATGTGGCCGTCGTTAAGTTGTGTTGTTTATTTGAAGATCAGAGCCAACGTCTTGACTTTGTCGTGCGCCGTGAATCGCGTTGGTTGGGAGTTGTCCCTTCCAGATAATGACCTCTCTCTGTCTTGTGTGTTGCCCTCGTCGAGGTTAGTGAGTGCTGTCGTCAACCGAATACAAATTTAACGAGCACGTCTGTATCTCACGTGACACCTGCTGGCGACAGTACTTCCGTGCTTGACGGTCGGGGGGCGAGATACTCTGCCCTACGGGTAATCAGCCCTTGACACCAGCTGGCGACAGTCCATAGAATGGGGCATGTATGCATACATCCGCCCTCACCGACCGCCATCTGTGACCCTGGCGTCCCCACTGACTACTACAGTGTGAGGTTACCGGCATGCCATACCGGAAAACAAAAAAAAAGAAGCCGCGTCTCGTTCTTTTACGTAGCCCACACAGCCAGGAATTCATTGCGGTGATGGCTATTCTATACTGTCTAGTCATGTGCAGTAGACGCACAGAACGTGCACACTGACAACGAGAAGTGTGGTACATTTGTTTCTTTTGTCGGTGGTGGGCACACCTCTCATGGTAAAGTACGGGAATATGTTCACAGCCTTCGGCGAAAGGCTTGGGAGCTGTTTTAATACGGCCACGATATAAACTGAGCATAGCCACATCATCCCATCCACGCTCGTGGCTATTGTGTTTGGCCTACTGCAAACGAAAAGCATCAAACTCACAACACGTTGTTGTGGCCACCCGACCGACCGGAAGCTCGGATTCGGCATCAACGCTACATACAACCACAGTGAGTGGAGAAACTAGTTTGGGGTTTTGGACCATGATGAACGAGTAAAATAACATGTTCCTATTTTCCTTGGTGCGAATGTTTAGTGACGTGTTGCTTGAAAGTGTTGGATTTGGTGGGGAGCCTCGTCGGAAAGTATTCAATAGAGAATTGTAGTATTAAAGGTCATCCCCCACTGGCCAATTGTCCACTCAAGAGATGTGAAAACTTCGAGCGCATGCCAACAAATCGGCAGCAAGAAGAGTCACCGGCAACGGACGGCATCGATCGGAAGCGCCAACACACCCTACCTTGCTCGTACACTACAGAAGGTACCTCTCTCTGTCTCAAGATCTCACCATCTCTCATCATTCACCCTTTTTTTTTGCACTGTACTGTAAATGGGTTTGGAAGCGATCAAAACAGAGAGTTCACTTTTTGTCCGCTGCCATCACGCCCTCCCTAAAAGACTCGAAGCAGGCGTCGGGGATGTAACTATTTACTACTACTGTAGTATTATGGTAGATGAGAGCTTGTGAGAGATGGGGGGAGGGAGGTTGGAAAGTGTGGCAGCTGCGATGATTC